TGATGTTTTATTTTAACATTTTGTTTATATTTTATTTAATTTCTTATTATTTAATTAATACATGTTTTATTTTATTTCATTATTTAATACTATTATTTAAAATAAATTTATTTAAAATTTTAATTAAAAAATAACATATATTTATTGATATTTAAATTTTTAAAAATAAATTTATTTATGTGCAAAAATAAAATAAATAAAATTTTTATTTAATCTAACTAAATTAATTAAAATATTAAAGCTATGTTAATATTACTATTACTTAGTAAATAATTAAAAAGGATAAAATAGTCATTTTCAGCATTATCCTTCTCTATAATATCCCAAACAAACATTGGATTCACTAAAAATAGTCAAATCTAGACATCTAATCTCATGACTAAACAAACATAGGATACAAATCCAGTACAACCAAATAGTCCAAGGACAATGTATTCCAGGTTAATAGTCCGATAGATACAATCCCCTTAATCCAGTTCGTTCAAACAAACACATCCTAAGAGTTTGGGACGAGACTAATATTAGTTAAAAAATTATAAAAAAAATCAAAATTTTAAGAAGTCATACAAAAAGTTAAAATTCATTCTATTCTCTATTTTTACACATTTTTTCGTAAAATATGAAAAAAATATTCTCAAACACTTTAGTTTTTTGTTTTTTTTTTTTTATTTTTTTGTCTATCACATTTAGTAAAAAAGTAAAAAAATCACTTCCCAAAACCAACCGTAAGTAGTCATTTAACTATTGCATTTAACAGAGTAGACCAAGAGGGATGTTATTTGTAATTTTTTAAAGAATTAAATGGAGATAATAATGATATTTCAAAAAATAGAGGGGGCGTCAGTGTAATTTACCCTAAAAACAAAGATAAAATATTTTTTTTCATTATCCAATGTAGAAAGTTAGAGATATGATCAAATAGACTCAAATTGACAATTGTGAGAATCAAAATGATAAAATCAAAATTTAAAAGACAAATGATAAAAAAATAAAATAAAAAAATGCATATTTAGAGACTAAAACTATCTTTTATTCTTATTTTCTGTTATCAATGTAATGGACATTAGAGATATGATCAAATTGACAACTGTAAAGATCAAATTGATAAAATTGAAATGTAAATATTAAAATAATAAGAAATACATACTTTAGAAACAAACTGTCTTTATCTTCTTTTTTTTTCGTTATCAATGTAAATGTACGTTAGAATTGGGACCAAATTGACTCAAACTAACAATTTTAATGACCAAAATGACAAAATTAAAGGTAAAGGGACTAAAATGGCATATAATGCATATTTTAATGGTAAAATTGTCTTTTACCTACAATATAATTAATTACATAATTATAGAATAATGTTAGGGATTGGGGTTCCAAATGGATTCTGAATATTCTACAAATACATACATGTGTGTGGGACCCACACTCATCTGAGTATTGTGTAAAAAAATTTGTAATTCATTTAGAATCTCTAACATTTTTTGCAATTATATATATCTATATAATATAGGAGAAAGGTTTTTGAATAGAGTAATGATTCATCCCCCTTTTCCCCCACCCCTTTGACCCCCTCTCTCTCTCATTGGTTACCTTTTCTTTTCTTTTTTTTTTTTCCTGCTCCTCCAATCACCCCTGCCACGTGGCAAAGGGGGGTGAGGGGTGACCCCAAAAGGGGGTCTCAAGCATTATTCTTTTGAATATATCCAAAATGTCAGAGAGATACAATTGATTTCAACGGTCCTAAGTCCATATACATTTAGATCAATGGTCTAGGTGCATTTAGTTCCCGCCCGTTTGAGCTCATCTCTCCCTCTCTCCCACGTCCCCAAACAACACGCCTCTGCAACTCTCTCTCTCCCACGTTCTTACTGCTGCTCATCACCACAGCCATTGAATAGAAAGACTGAATTCAGCAAAAACCCAACCTTTCGATAACCACCCTCCTCTTCGCTACGCTACTTCTCCTTCCCTTTACAACGCTTCGAACTCGACTCCCTTCGCTATCCACGCTACCGACGCTGCTCCGCAAGGGAAGATTGAGCCTTTCCACTCGATTTCTGCCTCTCCCCTTTCTCTCTCTCTTTTCTTTTTGACTAATTTCTCTCTCATGGTGTTCTGATTCAAACAGGTTATTCTAGGGTTTTGTTTACGGGTTATATATATTTGTAATTTCTACCAAATCTGTTCATGTTGTGGTTATCTTCCTCATAGAATGCTCTATTCCAAGCATAAATCGGGGTCTCTTGCTCCACTGCAGCCAAGAATAAGAAATATATTTGATGTTTTTGATTTTGTTTTTGATAGATTGGGGTAAATAGTATAATGGTTTCTTAATGAGTGGGGTAAGTTTGTGGTAGTGGTAGGCTGTGGTGATGGCAGATGTGGGGGTGGAAAGCTGATGGTTGTGATATGTGCGTTGGAAGTGGTGGTTGTGATGGTGGTCACCAAGTATTTGATAAAAGTCCTAGCCGGACAAAAAGTAGTTTGTGCGATGTCATGTGGTATGGCTCCCAAGCTGCAACAGTAACTGTGGTCCATTGCATGTAGTAATTGGGAATTCAATAGAAATTCAGGGTAATTATTTTACTTTTTTTTCTTCTCTCTTATTGATTTCTTTTTCTCATCTGCCTGATTCTTTTTCATGTGATAGATTGACCAAGTAGAAATCTAATTAGAAATGCAATAATAGGTTGCCAGCCACATCATTAATAAGGCTGGGCCTTCTATTTTTCTATCATCTCTTTTTCTTTATTATTATTATTATTTTCTCTTTGGGTTTTTAATAATTAGTTTTTTGTAATACAATCTATATAATATAGGAGAAAAGGTTTTGAATATATCCAAAATGTATGAGAGATACCATTGATTTCAACGGTCCTAATCCATATACATTTAGATCAATGGTCTAGGTGCATTTAGTTCCCGCCGTTTGAGCTCATCTCTCCCTCTCTCCCACTCCCCAAACAACACGCCTCTGCACTCTCTCTTTCCCAGTTTCTCACTGCTCTCATCACCACAGCCATTGAACAGGAAGACTGAATTCAGCAAAAACCCAAATTTTCGATAACCACCCTCCCCCTTCGCTACGCTACTCCTCCTTCCCTTACAACGCTTGAACTCGACTCCCTTCACTATCCACGCTACCGACGCTGCTCTCGCAAGGTAAGATTGAGCCTTTCCACTCGATTTCTGCCTCTCCCCCTTCTCTCTCTCTTTTCTTTTTGACTAATTTCTCTCTCATGGTTTGTTCTGATTCAAACAGGTTATTCTAGGGTTTTGTTTACGGGTTATATATATTTGTAATTTCTACCAAATCTGTTCATGTTGTGGTTATCTTCCTCATAGAATGCTCTATCCAAGCATAAATCGGGGTCTCTTGCTCCACTGCAGCCAAGATAAAAATATATTTGATTTTTTGATTTTGTTTTTGATAGATTGGGGTAATAGTATAATGGTTTCTTAATGAGTGGGGTGAGTTTGTGTAGTGGTAGGCTGGTGGTGATGGCAGATGTGGGGGTGGAAGCTGATGGTTGTGATATGTGCGTTGGAAGTGGTGGTTGTGATGGTGGTCACCAAATATTTGATAAAAGTCCTAGCCGGACAAAAAGTAGTTTTGCGATGTCATGTGGGATGGCTCCCAAGCTGCAACAGTAACTGTGGTCATTGCATGTTAGTAATGGGAATTCAATAGAATTCAGGGTAATTATTTTACTTTTTTTTCTTCTCTCTTATTGATTTCTTTTTCTCATCTTGCCTGATTCTTTTCCATGATAGATTGACCAAGTAGAAATCTAATTAGAAATGCAATA